AAGATAGAAAATGCTGTAATCTGCAAACAAAATGAGCTAAGGTGTTATATCATTTCTTTTAAATGACATATAGGACATCTTTATTCCCAGAACTAGATGAAATAAATCTCTGTCTACAAGGTATTTCTCAGATTCTTCTCAATGTCCATGAGATTGAGAGGAAACTTATTTTATAGGTTAGTTGTGTAGAAAAGGGAAAGTATTCATTATTTCCAACCTTGGAATCTTTTTTAAGAGAAAATGATATCATTATCGGAAAAAAAAAAAAAAATATGCACTGGCATACGTTTGCATCTCAAAACGCTGTGGTCACTATTAAAACTTATTTTCCAGGTGGTAAATAGAGCAAATTTTCATGGGTTCATGATCTTTTTCATCATAATATTAAAAATAACAAACTGTCAAAAAGAACAGTTAATTCAACTACTGAATGAAAGTAGACTTAAAAATGAAATTTCAACATAAAGTATGGTTGATTTCTGGACTCATTACCAGTGAAAATGGAATATAGCAAACAGTACAATAGTGCTTTAAAAATTATAACTTTATTTCCTTCTATAAAAGAAAGAGTTTCTATCACTAAACTTAAATAACTAAAAAAAGTAACAAAATTGACTTGCTATATGTGCTGATCTAAGACTCAAGCTCATCAGGATATATCCAAACACAGAACCAGCTGTGCAAGAATCAAGATACTCATCTATCCCATTAACATGAGTATTAATATTTATTTAATTTTTAGTTAATAAAAATTATCCAAACTCTAACAGCTTTGGATTACTGAAAATGAATATAAATTTTCTTCTATTAACTTAATTATTAATCTTCTTTTTCAGTTACACTACAGTCTATTACAGGACAAGGCCATCTCAACAAGCTTCCTCCATTGGATCTGATCAGTCACAATGGTCCTCCAATGAATGATTTTTAAAGTCTTGAGAGCAGCATCCACACAGTCTACCCACCTTGTGCAAGATCTTCCTCTTTTCCCGGTATCTTTTTAAGAGGGTTCAAGTTGTCATATCTAAACATATGCCCAAGCTACCAGATACGATAAGATTTGATTACTCAGACAATTTTCTTTTATAGATTTCAAGGTTAAACAAAATTTTCTATCTATCATTTTCTCTAACTGAGCCATATATTTTTTGGAATATTTTTCTTCCATAGATTTGAAGTCTTTCTTCATCTGTTTTTGTTAATGGCCAGCATTCACTACAATACAATATGATAGGTCTAATTAGAGTTGTATAAAGATTTATTTTTGTCTTTGAAGTTTAGTAATTTTGACATTAATAAATTTTTTAAAAACCATGACAACATCTATTAGCTCTAATCTATTGTCAAATCCAAGTTTAATATTGTTATCATTATAAATAATAGTACTGAGGTACGTAAACTGAGCAACGCCCTCAAAAGTATGAGAATTTATTTGCAGTGGAAGAGGATTATGTGCTCTATTTATTACTGCCATAAATTTTGCCATGGTTATTCCAATGTCTCTGGCTGCAGACTCTAGAGAAATAAAAGTCTCCACAATCGCCTATTTAATTCTGCAAAAAATGTCATGTCATCAGTGTATGCTAGTACTTGTATATATCTCTGAAAAATTATGCCTAGTTGTAATTCTGGCATCTCTAATAGCCTTTTCAAGTACAATATTAAAAAATGTGCCTGCAAGAGCATCACCTTGTCTCAACACCTTTAGTGTACAATGCCTCTGATAGATCAGACATGATTTAACGCAGTAATTCACTCTTTTTAGTCACTTTAGATAGATCAACCAATTTTCAAGGAAACCCAAATTCCAGCATAGCTTCAAACAGCTTTTTACGGTATATGCTATCATAAGCAGCTTTAAAATCAATAAAAAGGTGAAAAGTATCGACATTATGTTCAACAGTTTTTTCCAAAATTTGTCTAATAGAGTGAATTTCATGAATAGTAAATTTTCCAGATTGAAATCCACACTGGTAGCTGCCAATAACTGTAAATGTGTATGGTAATAACCATTTTTTAAAATATGGGAGATTTTAAATGCCACATTTAACAGCGTAATACCTCAATAGTTATAACATTCCAGCCCATCTCCTTTTTCAAAAATCGACATATGAAGCCCTTTTCTCATTTAATGGGAAGTCCAAACTGTAAGTATAACTTGACAGCATCAATCAGTTCAGGTAGGTCAATATTAACATAATTATTTATTGCCAATATAAAATTAAATGAATTTCATTTTAAAAGTATATTATACTCATACGAGTAAAAAGTATACATATATTACAAAATTACTTTTTCAAGGGGAAAAGTGAGCTGGTCTGTAGAACACTGTAACTAATAAAAGTGGTAATATCTCTATATTATTATTATCTGTTATATATCTATATATAACAGATAATAATAATGTAACTAATAATAAAATAACCTGAACTTGAAAAAAGTTTGAGAAATGCTGCACTAAAAGAGCGAATATATACTCACTTATTTCCACAAAACTGTTTGTCAATAGTACCATAAATTAAATATTCATATTCGGGCTACTACAGCAACCCTCAAGCACATCATCAATGAAAAACATCAATTAGATTAAACCCAGATGAAAAATCTCATATTTCTGGCAATGTAATCTAAACTTCTTTCCATATCTGGAAATACGTGTACTTTGAATTTTGATATTTTTGTGTTCTTAATTTGTGAAGAAACTCACAGAAGTTCATCACCAGTTTTTTTTTTTTTTCCCCTCAAGTATGAAGCACAGATATAGATCAGGGATGATTTAGGCCAAATTATAATGGCACTTTCAAAATTAACTAATTGCTCTTAATGACCTCATCAGTTGCAGCAAACCATATGCATACAGTGGTTCAAATACTTGCAAATGATTAGACTAATATATACAATGAAATAGGTGACAAAGTATATTAAATGAACAAAAAAAAGTGGATATGATATGAGCTATAGCCATAAAGTAGAACTGAATATATGCAGTCACATGATCTGAACATTACTGAAACACTTTGGCACATTTTGGATAAAAACAGAATGAGGAAATCTTTTTCTCTGTCAGCATTGCATACATGACTGTTCTGCAAGAAATATAACTCAGAATAACTCTCGCCATTATAACTTGTATCTGTGATACTGAAGATATTGGAGACCCTGCAGTGAATCTCAAAACCACACATTTCACTTTCATTGCTCAGTCTTTGTTATATATATAACTATTTGAATCATAGATAGTGAAAAACAGGATATACTGAATGCTGCAATCTAATTCAAAACATAATCTTATTTTTAAGAAGAAGAATATACCACATATTCAGATATTTGTACAGAGAACTCATTTATATAATTTTGTCCCTGCATTCATCATATCTACATCATATGCACTACAATAATAAGTTATATGTATTCAAAAGCTAGTAAACATTAATTAATGATAGAGCTGATTATCTATCAGAATTACATTCATCAGTTACCTCATACTTTATTTATATTCAGTGTTCTGGCTACAAAATTACTTTTAGTGAAGAAAATTTTTAAAGATGTCATAGTTTGAAAGCATACATTCATTATTACATTAAACATACATTACATTAAAAATTATAACAGTTGAGCAGCATATTTAAAAAGTTCTGCAAAAATAAACACAAAAAATTATGGTCGTCCTTCTCAATTATGTTTATTATCAACTATTGAGCACTTAATGAATTATTCAGACGCTAATTTCATTTTTTCATTCAAATAATTTTTTAATGCAGATAAATAACTGTAATCAATAAAGTATTATTAACAACTCTGTTAATATGAATTTTCCATTTTTCTGACAGATTCATGAATTTCTGATCTCATTATGCAAAAATACTTTCTACAAAACACAACAAATGGTAATCTGATGGTGCAATGTCAGAATTAAAAGGAAAATATAATAACACATCTGAATCAAAGTCTAATAATTTCTGACAAATAGTTAAAAATGTAAGCCATTTGACATTTTCATGATGGAACATGACAAAGCCGAATGACTCATATTTTTGTTGTTATTTGTTACAATCTGTTGAAAATACCTTTTTGTTAATTATTGATAATACCCATTAGAATTGATATTTTGCTCTTTGGTGAAATATCAAAAGATTCTCTTATAATCTCACCAAACAGATAAAACACTTTCTTTTGATGAATACCAACTTTGATGTTGTTTGAATTGGCTCACTTGACTTAAGCCATTATCTGTTGTACTCATTATTGATGAAAATAACCTGCTTTTACAAGCAGAAAGCATTTTTTCAAAAAACACCATTTCAGTTTCATTTCAAAAGCAAATCACATATGTTAATGTGTTAAATTAATTTCTTTAAGTTCATGTGGGACACAAATACTAAGTTTTGTTTAAAACTAAGTTTTTTCATCAAATGGTCATCAATATTTCTTTGAGTATAGATTATCAGCACATTCATATACGGTTATGAAATATAAGCTTCAGTCGGTGCTTTCAATTCGTTGTTTTCAATCTCAGCTGGTCTGCCCCAACTTGATGCGTCATGAACTGGAAGATCACCAGCAAGAAATTTTGCAAACAAGTCCTGGCATGTAGTGCCTTAGCAATACAAACTACTAGTGCCTTAGCAATACAGAGAGCACAAATCTTTTGTCTGCATGTAGCTCTGCCACCGTGGTGAAAATAAAAATAGGAATTAGAACAAAAATGTTGATTTTTATCTTCCATCTGTCAATATAAAATGCATAAGTAAGCATTTCATGATTTTGATAAATGTTACTTAAAATGCATGCTGATTTGCCACAACTTGGTCTCAAGGAAAAATATGTTTAAAATATTAACATTTAATTAAAAAAATTTAATTGGATTGAATTAGTTTCAAATAATATTAAAATTGTCAACAAGCTATTACAGCTACCTTATGAGGGGAACTAAAACTATGTAGTTTCTAGAGTTTCCAATACATTTCATAAAACATTCTCAGTTACAAAGCTAATTTTAGCAGAATATAAAATCATCAAATTGTCATAAATATAATACATACTTAATTACACCATCCATATCAGAACTAGCTACAGCTGTGCCAGAAGAGTTGAATTTACAATGTGTTATGAATGAATTATGTTCTGAATACTTCTCCTGAAATATGAATATAAACTGTTAATTTTAAACAAATAAAATAAACATATGTTATAATTACAAATAAATAACAGCTACCTACTCGGCTCAATATGATAAACCCACTTTTGCCTTCATAACCTAATATATATAGAATACAGTGTTACATAACATTTCAAAACACATAAAATGCATTATTCTGAATATGTAATAAATATTTAGAAATTTATACCTATTTTAAATATTGGTATTCCATAATATAATACATATAGAAAAAATGAAATATCATTTAAAGTATATTATATTTACATTTGATGAAATGTCTCATCATATTCTACAAAAATCTGTATATTCTTTTACCTGTAAACTACCTTAGTAAGATATGCAATTCATTCTGTATATGATTATAAAGTTTCACAGATAAAAGTTTTTTTTACTAATTTAATATAAGGATCACTCTGAAAGTCTTGATTAATTTTTATTAGAATGATAAATATCAAATTAATTCTTATTGCAATTTCTTAAAATACTTTCTGTGTGCCGATTCCTCAAAATATTCTCCTTATGTTATATTCAACATCAGGATCTTTTCATCATTTCTTAGAGATATTACTGATTCCCAGTTGGCCAACATAACACAAATTATCATACCTACAGAAACTATCTATAAAGTTGTCAGAATGTTTCAACAATCAGCAATGTGATGAATCTGCAGGACATAATCTTAATGTGTAAAAACCCAAGAAAGTATGATTTAATATCCATCCAGCAGTATCGTTATAAAATCAGTAGTACTATTATAAAAGTTGATGTAATGGCAATTCATAAACATTGTTAGATTTTTTTTATCAAGTGGCATTCTGTGGGCTAAGAAAAGAAAACGTCAAAAATTGAGAAAATGTCAAAGTTGAGACATTTTGTAAAACCATGTGCATCTGAAATTGGAAGAGCTGTACCGAGTTCTGTGGCACACACACACACCACACACACACACACAAAAAAAAAAAAAAAAAAAAGCAAGCAAGCATATCCTGGCATCAAACAATGTGATTTGATCATGCATTTAAGGTATCAGTGCCAATATTTTATTGCAAGAATTAGAAGATATCAAAAGCAGCCATCTAGAAATGAGTATTCAACTAAATAAGTTGCATGACGTTAATAATCGCCGTAAGTTGTTAATATTTATGATTCTTGTTTTGTGAGTCAATGGAATTCTGGAGAACTGCTAATGTTATTATGTCCATATGAGATGATCTTTCAGCAGAATAATGCTAATCTATATAGAGCAATGAATCCATGGAATGCTTGAACATCTATGTATGTGTTAGGATGCCCATTTCAACTATATCATCATATTTCATCTATAAATTGGAAGAGCAATTACATAGTAACTGGCTGAAAATTCCACAGGACAATATTTGGCATTTGTGAAAGCCCATGTTAATGCAATATCCTCATTCATTGACATCACAGGATTATACACTATACTAGTTGTGTCACATTCCTGGACCTACTTTTGCTCAATAAAAATCTTGATAACCATATAATTTTAATTACTTCATTTTTTCTCCTTATTGATTTTCTCTTTCATGACTAAGCATTTTTTAGTACATCAATTTTTTTAATGCAAAATGCATTTAAACAAAACATCTTTATTGTTTAAAAAGTCAATTCTAGAAAACACTATACTTGACCCTTACTCATTCACTTGCTAAAATATCAAATAAATAAATAAATAAATAATACAATACAAAAAGTACTAATAATTAAAAGTTGTAATAATATTTGCAGCAACTAATACATATTACTTGAATGTAATGGTGATTGCACAGTTGGTGGTGAACTTAACTGTGTTTTGGCAGGTAGTTTTGAATATTTAGCCTGTGATGTCTGGCTATCCTAAAACAGGTAAAAAAAAAAAAAAAAAAACTTATACAAAAATTTATGCACAAATGTGTAATAATAATATAACCATGCATTTTTAACTTCTAAACTAAAAAAAAATCTATATAACAATCATTTGTACTTTTTTTTAGCTATATCTGCTAGAGCAGTACATTCAATCAGAACTAAAAAAAATAATTAGGATCAACAATAGCAGATTTTAACACATGATAAACAAAAATTTATTTCTTTTATCCTTCTGTAATAGTCTATATTAATATTTTTAAATTCATGAGCAATTTTTCCTTCCTCAAATGTAATTGCCACTTCAACAAAACCATGCTTTACAGCTTTGATAACAAATAATAAAAGTTTTGCATTTATAATCTTTATGTGATAAAAAATGATGCCATTTCTAACACAGGCATGGAATTTGCGTGCATGATATTGTCTGTAATGACATTTATCATGCAAGTGCTTACAAATAAACAAGTAGCCACATACATCATTATTTTTAGTAAATATATTTTCCTATTTATCCTATTTTTTTACGATTATTAAAATCTATTCTTTTTTAAGATTTTTATTAAGATTTTATTGATCAAATGGAAACTTGTACTTAAAACACAATGAACAAACACAGAAAACAATTATTTTATCAACATTTTGAATTTGATCAATTAGAGTAATAAGTAAAAGAGCAATACTGCAGCCAACTGAACTAATATTTAATATATATTCATTGACGAATTATCAGGGTAAATCAAAAGGCAAAAGCAATTTTGTGTTTTTGCAGAAATAAGCAACTGACATCACCACATGTACTTTTAAAGTACCTATTAAGTTGTGTGTTGGAGCAAAGAGGTAACAAATATGGATACACCACTGAAATTGCCTCATCGAGGACAAAGACAGCAGTGCACTTTTCTGGTCAGAGGGAGTCAAGCTGGCAGACATTCACCATTGGTTTTTTAATCCAGAATGGAGCACTATGACTCAATAAAAGGTGTATGAGTAGATGGACCACTTTGAAGTACAATGCCCAAGTGTACCAAACAAAAAATTGAAGTAGACACTCAAAAAAATTCTGAAAAGAAGAAAATGTCCAATGGATGGATCCCAATATCAGGGACAGTCAACGAATCATATTAGCACAAGTGGTAGAACTCTTGGACATAAGTTTCAGAATAGCATATGCAATACTGCATAATGACTAGGGTACCATAAAGTTTGTGCAAAGTGGGTACCCAAGAAATTTGCAGAAAAGCATCAGCAGCAGCATGTTGCAGTGGCTACCCAGTTTCTCCAAGATTAAGAAACTAATCCCAGAACCTTGGAATAAATCATGACAGCTGATGAAACATGGGAGCACGTCTGTAAATTCAAGAGCAAATGGAAAAGAATGAAATGGAAACATCCACCTTCCCCAGTACCCGAGAAATTCAAACAATAGCTGCTATGTAGGAAAGTGATGCTAACACTGCGTTGGAATGTGAAAGGACGGATTCTGGAAGAGTCACCATAGTGAAACTGTGAATATTGTATAACCTATTGTATAATCCTGCAAGATTATGAAGCAAGTGTATGAAATATTGAAAGGACCTTTTACTCAAGCTTAGGATGATAGTATTTTGAAAACACAACAGTTTGGTAGATTTAAAGACATTAAAGTAAATTTTTTAGGAAATATATATAAAAGAACTAGAAATTAGTAGTTTTAAACATCTTTTACTAAAGAAATTGGATAAAAACTGAATGCAGACTTTTAGGAGTAAAATTCTAAGAGCAGATATGAGGAAGTAATAGTTCTAAAATCACATATAATTTTTTTTTTTAATAGATGCAGTTTGTTTTTGTTGTTGCAAAAAACTGGACACAAAGCTTTGAAATGGTGTGTGTTTGGAGGGGGGGACTAAATAATTAACTAACTAAACATACTAAATAAAAAATAAAATGGAAAACATAACTCATTTTTTCTACTTTGGAGGATCTAGATGAATTTACTTGATTTTAGAAAAATGTTTTAACCTTATGATCACTCTGAATGTTGGGATTTCATTTTATATGTATATTTTTTAACTTTACTGAAGGAAAAATGAGCTCAGACAGTTTATAATATTACTCAACATTTTAATTAGATAGATGGACACTGACAGAGTACACACAGAAGAACGAAGCATAACATATACATATATACATACAGCAGAAGAAATAGATGGCATCATCACAGCATGCCTTGATAAGGGTGAACTACACATGCATTAGGAAAGGACGAGCTATAAGCTAAACCAGGGTTTCTTAAAACTGTGGGTCACGAGCCCCTTGGATGTCACGGGACCAGCAGTAGGGAGGTCGCCAAAATTTCAGCAGTTTTGATATTTCTTTAACTTATTACAATAATTTTACAATTACTAAATATTTTTACACAATGTATCTGAAAATAGATAAATATAAGACAATACAGACAAAGAAAAAAAGAAAATGTTTCAACGCATTCTTTTTATAATATAAATGTTAATTTTCATTACTTTGCATGTGACGCTGTCATTTCATCTGTTACTTATTTAAAATTTTCACATTGATCTATGTCTTAAAATTAGAAATTAAAGTTAATTACCTAAAACTTCAATAGTATATTACAATACAAGTGAAAAAAACTGAATGTTTCACTCAAAGCATTTGTCGGATTTGCGCAATACTTATGGGGTCCACAAATTTTTTTTTTAATATTATGGGGTCCTGGGGGTCGTGAAAAAATCTCAGTGATAAAAAGGGGTCACGATGAAAAAAGTTTAAGAAATCCTGAGCTAAACAGCAGATATTATAATCCAACAATTTCCCTTTTGATGTTTGGCGGCTGAAAAATAAACATTCATTATTTACAGTCATTCCAGTTAATTTACAGCCCTTAGAATGTTTGAAGCAGTCAATGCTTTTGTTAGCACATCAGCAGGAAATTTCTCTGTTGGCACATATTTAAGATCTATTTCATTTCTCTCATAAATCTCATGCCTGAAGTGATGTCTAGCGAGTTTTTCATATGCTTCTGTGTACCTTGATTATCACAATATATAATGATTAGATACTCAGCATTAAAATTTAATTCTTTGAGAAAATGACATAAATAAATTGCTTTAGCACTCTCTGAAAGGCTGATGTACTCAGCCTCAGTACTTGATCATGAAACAGTTTGTTGCTTTTGTGATTCTCAAGTTATGGGATTTCCAGCCAGTCTGAATAGATAACCTATACAGGATTTTCTAGTAGTAACATCAGATGCCCAACCAGCATCAGTATATCCAATAAGTGTTTTTCCAGTCTTTTGAAATTTTAGACAATAATTTCCAGTTCAAGGACCGAGGAACATGCTTTCCAGCCAACTTGTGTAATTTTCCAGGATTGTTATTAAATTGGCTCTGGCTGATAGCATCAGTATATATTTTTCTATATATACTGATGTATATATCCTTCCCAGGATATATATATGAGTATATATACATATATAAGGATATATGCATCAGTGTATACAGATCAGTATACAGGATGGTTTATAGATCATGGGACAAACTTGGAGGAGTGGTTGAGTGTACTAAAACATGCATTTTTTATATAGGAATGTAGGGTCTAAAGTGACGGGTTAAGGCAGGAACGCAAATAAACGACACAAGAGGAAGATGCGTTTATGTACAAAATCAATGCAAAGTGCTTCTTTGCAGCAATACAGTATTCACAATAAATGTTTGAAAAAGGGAAAACTAACAGTAATAGGAACAAGAGCTATTGCATGGGGTCTGCAGCTGAGTAATTCAACCGTTTGGAGAGAATTGCATCAAAATTTGCACCCATACCATTTGCAGAGAGTCGAAGCCTTGCAAGAGACAGATTACCCTCTTCGAGTTCATTTCTGTCATTGGTTCTTGCAGCAGCGTGCGGCGCAGGTGGATTTCCCATCAGATGTGCTCTTCACGGACGAGGCAACTTTCTCACAGGATGGCATCTTTAATAGCCCCAACATGCACTCTCTGCAAATGGTACAGATGCAAACCATTTTCATGCAATACTCTCCATAGGGTGGAATGACTCAGCTGCAAACGAAGTGCAATAGCTCTTGTACTTGTCTGAGGTGATTCATGCACAATGTTCAAGATGGGTTCTTCAATGCGAGGTTGTCGCGCACTTCTTCCACTCCTAGTGTCAGAGGTGGCTTCAAATGACCGTTCTCACACAGAGACTGATGCACCTCTCGAACATTGTGTGTTTTGGCATACACCTGTTCGGAAACCGTTCCTGGTACAACCGTAGCGCTGCTCTGCCGTTCCCATTAGCAGCACCATACATGAGATGCATGTCAGCTTTTTCCCTGTGCGTAAACTCATCCATCACGCTCGACATCAGAGTTGCGAATGATTTGCGTTCCTGCCTTAACCCGTCACTTTAGACCCTACATTCCTATAAAAAAAATGCATGTTTTAGTAGGCTCCACTACCCCTTTCAAGTTTGTCCCATTATCTATGAAGCACCCTGTATATACAGCTCAGAAAGTAGATACAGTAATATCCAGCAATAAAAGATACATAAATGAACCAATTAGGTCATGTCAGATTTGTATCTTTTTCTTCAGCAATTTCTGCTGCTTCTTTTTGTATGTGTGTTCGCCTAGGGTGTAAATCGAGGACGGAAATATGTATACACACCTTCTGACCGAGGACTTTCGAAGAACCAAGGACATCCTCGGTTGGAAATATTGCCAGAATCGCAATCAGGGACCTCGGATCCATGTAGAAACCAATTATGAGCCAAATCCGAGCTATTTCCTCGGTGTGAATATAAGTAGTTTATTTCTGTGTAAAACTGTGTATGGGCTGTGCATCTTTGTGCAAAAATTGAGGTCACGCTTACATGCCAGAAAAAGCTAGTTCCCCCTACTGCTGTTCGAAGTGAACATGTGCATTCCAAATATGGTCAGAATACTATCTAGTCTTCGTTAATGCGGTGTCAAATTAAGGACGAGTGTG